TGTGCATGCCTCATTCATATGATATGTTATGCAAAATGTTAGGCAACTATAGCAGCTGCAGATGTTTCGTTGTCGACACTGAAGTCACAGATTCGATTCCCAGTCATGGTGGCTGCATTCTTATTCTGGCAAGACGCTCATGGGCTTAAATTTGCATAGGCATAGAAACATTGATGTTTGAAATTAATTCTCACTACAGCAACTTTCGTAGGTTATCAAGGTTACTGTTTATATTTTCAGTTAGCTACTGGACCTTGGCTATCAAAAAGTTCACATTTTATTTCTTTGAAAATTTAATTATGACTGAAAATGTTCCTCAAGTTCTGTTGTAACCCAATGATTGACTTATATGTGCATACGTAAAGAGACTGTTCTTTTTAGCATATGCTGGGTTACATGGTTTGTATTCAAGAAAAAAAAAATTCACATCTGCTGGCTGTTGGGAGCAGATTTAGGCATTTAACCTTATAAATTTCAAGAAAGCATCTCCTCGCTCTTCAAAGATCAATAAGTTGAAGAATTAGGCTCATGATTGCTCTGACAATAACAAAAGTCTTACGAATGTTTAGATTTCTGTTGTTTCAACACCTACTGTGCACAAAATTTATGTTTATTGTAAATAAGGCTTTTGAAACGAAAATTGGATAACCAGTAAGGGAATGCATCATATTTATCTCTTTTAATTCATATAACAAATGCACTTTGTGAAGTAGTTATTAATGTGGTTTTATTGCATTTGAATGTTGTAGTATTCACATTGCTATATTTATTTAAAGCAGATTGTCAAAACAGATTACTAGATTTTCTAGTAATATCTTTACAAAGGAAACTGAAGCCCTTATGAAAATTTTCCTTCCAAGATATAACAGAGTTTAGCAGTCTTCCTTTAAATGCAGAAAATTTCGTAGAAGTAGCTCTTATCTAATGAGAATGTCTTTCAATTTCACATGCGTATGAACTGGGACATTTAATATTCTACACATTTATTCGTTCACTTATTTCCGTACCTCCGAGAAAAGTTAGCATTTACTGAAGGAAACATATGCAGTATATATTCATACGCATATTAACACATTTATCAGATATAGTGGAACGAAGGAAAGAGCTTTGTTTCGAGCCTGACGAGTTGGTGGGGTGAACGAATGGCCCAGCCTAGGTGATGGCCTGGAGCCCTTGATTCCTGGTTACTTCCACAGCCTGGAGACAGCCCACATCTGATCTGCAAGGGTGGAGCTTCCCAGCGTGGTAGCTTTGCAGGTTGCGCAAAGGCTGTCACTAGAGGTCGCATTCTTGTTATTGGCTCTAATATATCGACATTCTCATAATAGATGCTTTAGAGGGGCTCTGGATTCATAGTGCTTGTCCGTATTGTGTGTGTATATATATATATATATATATTGTACGGTGCTACAAAAGGTCTTCAACTAGGAAGAACTGAGCTGGCGGGGAGACGCACCGAAAACTGGCGTGATGGCTGCTTCAATAATAAACAACTAGCCAGAGCACGCGCTGCTCCAGAACATCGTCTTCCATTCTCGCGGGCAGCCATGGCTTGCGCTTGCCGTAACTAGCAGCCAAGTGGCATTATTCCCCCTTTGAGGAAAAAAAAAAGGCATCACTCCGATGCTCGAAAAGTACAAAGGCAAAGTCGGGGCGAGCCAACAGAAAATACGCGCATACACAAAAACAAAGATATGGGTAATGCGTAGTCGCACTACCGCGTGAAGTACGGCTTCAGGCGCACCATGTGGACAATCTCTGAGGAGTGCCTTCGCCGTCGTGGCGAGAAGGCGCCGTCAGCGACTACCTCATAGTTCACATCGCTCACGCGTCGCAAGACTTTGTATGGTCCGAAGTAGCGACTGAGCAGTTTTTCTGACAATCCCTGGCATCGGACTGGAGTCCACACCCAAACTTGATCGCCTGGATGGTATTCAACTTGTCGATGGCGAGCGTTGTAGCGGCATGCGTGTGTACTCTGCTGGTGCGCAATGTGTAGGCGTGCTAACTGACGTGCTTCTTCGGCGCACTGGGTAAGCTGCACAGCATCAGGAGTGATCAAAGCATCGCAATTGTATGAAAGCATCACATCCAGCATGGTCTGGACCTCACGTCTATAGACAAGACGGAAAGGCGTGAATTGCGTAGTTTCCTGGACGACAGTATTGTACGCTAATGTGACGTACGGTAGCACCTGGTCCCAGGTCTTATGCTGGACATCTACGTACATAGATAACATGTCAGCGATGGTCTTATTGAGTCGCTCTGTCAAGCCGCTGCTCTACGGATGATATGCCGTGGTCTTGCGATGGCTCGTGTAGCTGAGCTTGAATACGTCATGAATGAGTTGGGCCGTGAATGCTGTTCCTCTGTCTGTGATTACGCACAACGGGACGCCATGTCGAAGAACGATCTGGTCCATAAAGAATTGGGCGACGTCGGAAGCAGTAGCGCGTTTTAGTGCCTTTGTTTCGGCGTACTTCGTCAAATAGTCGGTGGCTACTACGATCCACTTGTTGCCGGCAGATGATAGCGGAAAGGGCCCCAGTAAATCCATTCCTATTTGATCAAATGGCGCTATGGGTGGTTCTATTGGTTGAAGAAGCCCCGCGGGCTTTAGTGACGGAGATTTGCGGCGTTGACATTCCCGGCAGCTTTTCACGTATCGCTTAACTGATGCAGAAAGCTTAGGCCAGTAGTATGCTTGTCGAACTAGAGTGAGAGTTCGAGAGGAACCTAAGTGACCAGATGTGGGCTCATCGTGGCAGGCAAGAAGAATGTCGTCACGCATGTCAGTTTGCACGAATAGAAGATAGGTTCTGTGATTGCCGTTTGGGTTTTTCTTATACAGGACCCCATCTCGCAGACAGAACGACGACAGACTTCGAGAAATACATCGAGGTATGGACGAGTTGCGTCCTTCAAGGTTTTCAATAACTGCGCGAATTTCATCGTCCGCACGCTGTTGCGTAATCAGATCTGTTGTAGTAAGGGCCCCAAGGAAACCATCGTCATCCTCGGTGTTGTGGCCACAAACTTCGACAGGTGCACGGAATAATGAATCAGCATCTTCGTGCTTGCGGCCCGATTTGTAAGTGATCGTGGAATCGTATTCCTGCAGACGAAGACTCGATCGTGCCAGTCGCCCACACGGGTCCCGTAGGTTGGCTAACCAGCACAACGAATGATGGTCGGTCATTATCTTGAAGTGGCGTCCGTTAAAGTAAGGCCTAAATTTAATCGTGGCCCATACAACAGCGAGGCACTCTTTCTCTGACGTGGAGTAGTTGACCTCGACGCAGGAAAGAGCACGGCTAGCGTACGCTATCACTCGCTCTGTGCCCTCTTGTTGTTGTACGAGGACAGCACCAAGACCCACGTTGCTGGCGTCAGTACGAATTTCAGTTTCAGCGTCTTGGTCAAAGTGAGCGAGGACTGGTGGTGTCTGCAAACGCTCCCGTAGTTCAGAAAAAGCTGCGTCCTGTTCTTCCTCCTGCCAGACGAATGGAACATCTTCACGAGTGAGTCGAGTGAGCAGTTCAGCAATCCTAGAAAAATTGGCTATAAAGCGGCGATAGTACGCGCAGAGCCCTAGAAAGCGACGCACTGCCTTCTTATCACGTGGAACAGGAAACAAGGCCACGGCGGTACTTTTGTCAGGTTCTGGTTGAATACCATCCGCACTGACAACATGGCCGAGAAACTTAAGTTCCTTGTAACCGAAATGGCATTTTTCTAGCTTCAGTGTCAGGTTAGCAGAGCAGAGCGCTTCCAGCACATTCTGCAGACGCTTCAGGTGCTCCTCAAAGGTGGGAGAAAACACGACAACATCATCGAAGTAAACTAAGCTTGTGTGCCACTTTAGACCGGTAAGAACAGTGTCCATCATTCGCTGGAATGACGCAGGTGCAGAACAGAGGCCAAAGGGAAGCACTTTGAATTCGTATAGGCCATCCGGTGTAACGAAGGCGGTTTTTACACGATCTCGTTCGTCAACTTCCATTTGCCAGTAGTCACTTTTCAAGTCTGTCGATGAAAAATACTTGGCCCGCCGCAGTCTGTCGAGGGAATCGTCGATGCGAGGCAGCGGATAGACGTCTTTTTTAGTCACGCTGTTAAGTTTCCTGTAGTCCTCGCAGAAGCGCAGTGATCCATCTTTTTTCTTCACGAGCGCGACTGGAAATGGCTAGGCACTTTTCGAAAGTTAGATAATGTCATCTTGCAACATCTCTTTGACTTGAACATTTATAACGTCACGTTCCTTTGCCGAAACGCAGTAAGGGTGAAACGCAGAATGTGTACTCGAATTTACAATAAATTCTTAAAGTCAGCTGAAAATTGCTTTCTGTTCTCTGGGCAAATCACGCTACATACTCAAAAATAAATGCGACAGGCCCAAGTATTACACCATTGGCTGATTTGAGCCTAGTGCCCTAGGTCGTTACTGCAGGGGCCGCCGTGAAAGGTGGAGACGCATGATCTCACTAAAAAGCTGCGAATTTGAAGCAAAAACAAAAAACAAAAAAAGAGAACGAACAAAAATGCTGAAGGTCACGAAGTGTGCGTGATGAATTTTTCTCCCGTGCTATTTCTCCCTGTTTAGCTTCCCGCACTTTTCGTTGGGACGAGAGAAGGGAGAATGCAATTGCAGCATGCGACAAATCTTTGTAACTCCCCTTGTACGAGAGGGATACTTAAAAATTTTTACGACGGTCAAATCATGAGGCAACAAGCTTGCTTAGTGAGTATATTCCATGGCTACTTGGAAGAGTGTTGCATTGCCCCTTTGTTGGAGTGAATCTTTTGGAATCGTATATTTCTCTCTTTATAGCAACAGGGCTGTGCAAATAACTAATAGCCTCTTATAACAGTGTTTTTTATACAGATGTGTGATTCAACAGTAGACTGGGCTTTCTTTGATGGTTCTGGTTGTGTAATTCCTTTTCATGTCTTTTTTTTTGTATGCCATTAGTGCAATACCCTTCTTTGCACTTGTGCAGCCTCCCCGGATTGGAGGAGTGAAAGTGTACAAGGAGAATGTGTCCAGAAGTGAGGTCATCATGGACATGGAGTTGTTGTAAGTTTAACTCTCTAACAGTTTGTACTTGCTGTTGGGAATAAACCTAAGTATAACGAAATTGATGAATTCCTGGAAAAATCTATTATAAAGAGGATTACGTTATGTGCAGGTTTGGTACGAAAATAAGAAAAATAAATGCAGTAAAAAATGCGTTATTATTGTGACTGCAATTATATGGACACACTCCGTTGGTTTTTGTCGTGCTGCCATGTTCCGTATCAAGTCTTAATTGATAACATGCCCCCGTGCATTGCAATATTTAAACGTGTCAAAGTGCGCAAGCGCTGTTGAAGTAGAGATCAAATGAGCCAGCCCTTCTCTATCGCCTGGAAGGCGCATTCAATAACATCCCCCAGCGTGTTGTGTTAGAACTGCCGTCGAATGCTCAGACAGAAAGGACACTTGCTGTCTTGAACGAGCATAAAAAAACAAGAGGAGGGGTGGAAGAGGAGGGGGAGGGGGTCGCGCTAGTAGCAACAGTAAATTTTATTTCAAGGGCGCCGTTGCGATCGCTAGTGCACGTGCTATCTCGGCAAGCATCAGTGCACTTTCAATGCGAAAAGACTGTGAAAAGAGCACTTCTTTCTGGAGCAGCCGTATTTGCTTCCGTGATATAGGATCCAAAAGAGTTGGCTACCAGCCTTATCTCGTATAACATTACAATTTGTTGCTATTGCATTTACTGCATTGCATTCATCGTGCCATTGTGTTGTTACCAGAGCTAACCGGGAAGGCCCGCGAATTCGCGTTGCGGCACGAAGTGCATGACGAGTCGACCTTTGTAGATCCGTCATTGTCACCGTGGTGGCCGACGATCAGCGCCTAATCTGACATCCCCTCGGTGGTGGCGACACGATTGTCTGCATTAAAAAAAAAAGCAAAGCTGAATGCCGTCAAAAGCCACACCATGCGCGTGAGCTGAAACCATGTACGCCTGCACGACATCGAAAAAGAAGAGCGAACAACACTTATACCGTGAAAAAATATCCGGTAAAGCGCCCTACATATGCAGCGCGGCCCTACATATGGGACGCTAACTAAAACCGGGGCACTTCCAACACAAAAGTACATTTCTTTTTTGTTTTTGATTTGGAAGGAGGGGGAGGGCACGTCTGCCCATGCGCCCGCAGGGGAATGAACAGTTCGCAAGACGCAGGCCCACCTGCCACCCATGCCCGCCTCGTGCCATCGCGTTGGAGTCGCCAAGGCCATGAGCGTGCCGATGCTCATGCCCAAATGACAAAATCCGGGGCGAAATTCCTAGATTGCCCATGGCGAAAATTCGTTATATCAAGGATGTTTTTCACTGTTACTTTGCTATATAGAGGTCGCAAATGCGTGTGCTTCTACAAATTAACGGGGGCTGGGGAATAGAAAGACTTCATTATATTGAGGAATTAGTTATATGGAGATTTGTTATAAGCCAATGAAACTGTAATAGTTGCATGTTTTGTATCATCAACAACAGACATAGTGAAAAACAAAAAGGGGGGAGGGGATTGCTTGTTCTTTTTATGCGTTCTTCCTGCGCTCATGTTTTTTTTAAACAAGTACCTACAGCGCCACGGGGGCATTATTGTAGGGGGTAGACGGGAAAAAATAATCACATGTGATTATTTTTTTGAAAGAATATATATTCACAGAAAGACAAAGATAAAAAATTTGAGCTAATAACAAAGCAGTGTATGCAACAATAAAAATTGTTGACAATTCAGGCACAATGTCATCAAAAGAAGAAAAGAAAAAAGAAATTAATAAAAGACAGCACAAGCAAAAGCCAAGGGACAGCTAGCTTATAGCTCCTGGGAAGTTTGAATTTGAGCTAATTTTCGTTAACACCGTGTTTTGCAATTTCTGACTCTGAAACCAAGAAGTAACATACTTGCCATGTTTTTTTCATACTCTGCAGCAGGCATGGCAGGGCAAAAATAATATCAAGAGCTGTTATTATTATTAATATTACTATTATTATTTTTTGCACTGGATGTTTAGTTAGGGTCTTTGGTCAATATTGAAAGTTGGATATTGTTAGACCATGCAGAAAATTGGTTTATCAAGAACATGGTCATCAATGTGTGTGGCCCATAGCATGAAACAGTCGTGAAAGTAGAACTGTGTAAAAATATCCTTGAATTATCTGTGAAATCTTATGCACTTGTTGCCTGTTCGAAGTGCCCACAACACAGTTGCCGCGTACTAGGCTGCAATCAAGTGGAACCTCATTGACTGCTGGTTCTTGTGCCCACTGTACTTTGTTAATTTCTTGGCAAGTTGAGACTAATGCATCAAACTAAATTATACTTAATTAGTTTAAATTGGAAAACTGGAAGGTGTGATGTACCAGAAAAGGCCCTCTAATCATTAACTTTTGAGGCATGCCTACAGGAAACTTAAAGCACGAATAATAATAATCTCCTCCCCAGCCTTTGCTTTTTCAGCACAACTTCTACGCGAAGTGGTCAAAGCTATGCTCGATTTTCCCCAATTCTCTGCCCGTGGGCCATAGATCATTGAGCTGTGTGCATATTTTCAGTTGATTGATGTGCAGCCAAGTGCTGCTACCAACTTGACCACTCTTTTGTGTTTCTTCTTGCTCATAAAACACTAAGCCAACCCAATTGGCCACGCAAGGGATGTATTAAAACAGCATCACGTACCAAAACCAGGTCTGCTGAAATGTCACCATGTCACCACACTGCAATGTATAGTGATGCGCAGTTTTAAAAATACTTTAAGCTGAGTGTTTGAATAAGTGCAAATCATTCGGAAGACACAATGTAGCATCTCGATAGGCTTGTAAAAGAAAAATCAAAATAATTTCATTGCCCCTCAATGTGTCGGTTGTAGAGCCCCCATTTTTCGTCCTTTTTTTCTATTTCACAGCTACTGCGGTGACTGCAAGTTTAGCATCAAAGTTAAAGGTTTCAAGGCTGGAATTCGAGACCTCCAGGTAAGTCACCTGCACCTTTTCTTTGCTTGGCTGTTTGGCAATGGGTGGCGTGTGGTAAGTAAGCCCAAAATGCATTTCATGAAAGAGTCCGAGTGAACTTCACTTCTTTTTGCCAACATACGCTTGAGGGTGTTCAGCAACATCAGTAATTGTATAGTGATTTATACCTGCAGTGGTAGCTTCTGTTACATAATTATATTTTTGGTGTGCTTGCATTGTGTACAAAAGCAGTAAAAAAAAGTGTTGTAATTGTGCTGTTGTGCATTACTTGAATGGACACATTGTAAGGATAGTTGTTGTTGTGAATCAGCACGAAAGGCAATGCATTGCAATTTTCGGAGCGTAGAGTGAGAACTCTAGCGGTTGGCTCGAGCACTGACCTAAGTGTTATCTGTCCTCTCCTTCAGATACATGGGCACGTACGGGTGGTGATGCGGCCCCTTACTAAGCAGATGCCCCTGGTCGGTGGTGTGACCGTCTTTTTCCTCAGACCTCCCGTAAGTATGCATAGAGTACCTGTGTATAAAGCTGGCTCTCATGCATAGCATCACTGAATATCAACAATAAATTCTTGGGCATTTATTGTACCTGGTCACACACATTGCTGTCACCATACACATAGATCACTGGATATTTTGTGCAGCTTTGACCCTGTTGGCACCGTTTCGTTTGTCATTGTTACGCCTTGAAATTGTAATGTGACCTTCCTTCCGGCTGGATTCTCTGTTCTCAATGCTGTCATTGTATGCAAATGCCTGTTCCATACAGCATTTAAAACATGATGGCTGATTTGTAATCTGGCTTTCTCTTCCAACTAATGAAATGCAGTTATATTGAGCCACTCAACTTGCGGAAAAAGTTTCAGCGGATTCATTTGCTATGCTCGCTTGTGACGAAAAAGCCTCCTTCGGATTTCAATGAGCACCCGCTCCCGCTAGATAACAGACTAACGCAATATTTCAAACCACATTTCTCAATACAATACTAGGCTAGAGTGCATACACTTCTGTCTTTCCTAGTACAATTACAGAACAGAATGGAATGACATGCACTAAATTCATTGCTAATTGTGTCATAGATATTACATGAATTCTTAGTTTGACCTACCCTGTTACATCTATTTACATACCGTGCCTGGGCCTGTTCAAAGCATACACTATGTAATAATGGAAAAAATGAGCAGACGAACAGACAGAAACACACACCACTGCATTATCAGTGAACACCTGTTTGGCATTCTTCACAATAAAAAATGATGGCAGTGCCAGTGTCTGTCTCCTTTTCAATTTTTCATGTGTACTAATTTACAAGGTCATTTGGTGCATACTTATGGTGACTGATAACATTGTCAATGACATGCTATTTGTGAGAATTTGTTACCCCTGATGAGGAATGTACAATTTTGATATGTGTTGCTTTGCAGGCTATTGATTTCACCCTGACAAATTTGGGACAAGTCTTGGAAGTTCCGGGACTCAAGTGAGTTGGTTGCCTCTGTAGTGCTAAGTGAGATGGCAATGTTGAGGGTAACATGTGAAAGCAGCAGCAACCATTTCATAGTTTTGCAGCAGTGCATAGGAAATCGTGTGAAATGGCTGCAGAGCTTTTATGGCATACATTATCGGGAATTGGTTATACCTGTAATGAAGCCTGATTAACAGAGCGTGCACGAAAGACACAGCACATTGACATTAGTAGATAAGTGCTAAACTTGCAACAGAACAGGGGAGCACAGAACAGAAGCATCTTGCTGCTATAACTTGTATCTAGGCTTGTGTAAATATTCGAGCACTTTTGATATTCAAAATAATATTGCAGTAATCGAATTTACTGCGACTTGAATTTAAGATATTTGCAAATTTTGAAGTATTCGAAATGAACAAATAAGTATAGTAATCCGCATGCAAGCTTTTTGTAAAGGTGGTTTCACTGTAATGGATTGATGCTGTTTTATGAGTACATTTGTCCAGGGGAAATTCACGCTGCCGCAAAGCCATACTTCGTGGTTGAATGAACATATTACTTTCACGTTGATTCAACTTTTGTTTTTTAATTTAGGAGCTTGCTGTACCGGCTAGTCGGGTGTAATAAATTTTAAAATGCAATATATTTTACAGGTTATCACTTGCATTCTACCTAAAGTCAAACCCTGCCACTATTCAAAGTTTTTTCCACCTTCTTCAAACCAAAGAAAATGACATCCGCACATGCCTCATTTCATTTCTTATTGCGTAGCTTGATTAGGTCATGACAAATGTGCTAAATTTTCTTTATAACAGAAGATATATACTATTCAAGTTCAATTCGAAATTATTTGACCAAATCACAATCGCTTCAAATTCGCTTTGAACATAAAGGTTACTATTTACACAAGCCTACCTGCTTCTATTGTATTTCTTGTGTACTACGGAATTTCGCCAACTAGTCTTGGTACGTAATTTTTATTTTGATCACATTTTTAATCCTCCTAACCAAGTGCTGGGGGCTATGCGGAGCAATAGCCACCAGAAATTCAGACAAAATAGAAAAAAGCAACACATAGTTGGGGTTTTGAAGTTCATAAAATGCTCGACAGACTTTACTTGAATGTTCCTTTTTACTTCTTAAAACATATACATAAGACGCAACTCAACATTGTGTTATCGCTCACTCGCAGACTCCGGGTAGCGCGACAGTAGGTTTAGAGAAGGAAGACGAAAAAGGCGTTCTGTGTATAGCTGATTTTAAAACAGGCTGTTTCACTGTCGCAAGTTGCTTCTATCTTTTGTTCATGTGGCACCGTGACAATATGTTCAGGATTTCTGAAAAAATAAATGTTTGTGAGCTCGGTGCTAGTTTGTCAGCTTTACTGTGTCTATGTTTTTGTGTTCACACTGTGGTTTCAGCATGAATATTCGCCAGCCCACAATTCTGCTGATGAACCCCTTTGGGTATACTGCGCAAGATCATAAACTGCAAGGGAACTGTTTAAAATAATAACTAACCTGAGAATAGGGACGGGTCGACAGCCTTTTTGAAGCGAAGGGCTCAGTTGATGAAAGTGGACACAGTGGCGGCCGCTGGCAGATCAATGGTGGAGGAAAAGAGAGAGAAACGATTCAGCAAATTGATAATAATGTGCGAAACTAGAATAGAAATTATGTTTATTTTTCTCTTTTCCTGCTCTACCCTGTTTGACGTCATAGCTGTCATGTCGGCCTTCAGATAACAAGCGATGAGGGGAAGGGGGGCGCACTTCATGCGAGGGAAAGGTGGCACATAATACTGCCATGCGGACCGCAGGTTGCCAACCGTTGACACAGGGTATTGTACATCACGGGATGCCTTTGGTCAGATACGTGCTGGCAATGTTTATTATTATGCATCAAGTACATGAGAAAAAAAGAAAGAGTTACAAGGACAAACCTGGTTCATGCATCTGCAACACTCAGCATGTCATCATTTGAAAGCCTGTCTGCTTGTGTTGTCTTTGATAGCAATGACTTGCATTAGGCATGAAGCGTGAAACAGCCATATTGCTTTCGCATTTTCAGTACGCCCGAAATTGAGAATTCATGTAACGCGCCTACACTCATAGCCAAGACAGAGCTTGCTGCAGGACTGTAGACGTGTTCTGCTACTGACTGTGGCCAGTACGGCTGAAAATAGGAGTTATGTGCTACGATTAAAATGTTCAACTGGCAGAATTAGGCATTTGAAAAGCTAAAAGCTTGATTGCTTTGGTATTCGGACTTTTTTGGTTGAACATTTTGATGGAGCGAAACATAACAGCACATGATCAAAGTGATGAAATATTTCATATCCTATTACGAAGTGGGCATGATGCGATGAAAACTTTAAATATAGTTTTGTGTTATCACTTTCAAGGAAGTGCACAAGGGAACTAAATCTAACAGTGTCACTATAATTATAGTAGATACAGAAACAATGCATTGCAAATAGAGCGCAGCATTTATGAATAGCATAGGTACAGCTGCGCTCATCAATTTTTGTGATAAAAACTTTTAAAGGGACGTGCACCATGCTGTGGTGTGATTTATCAGGCAATCTCAGATTAATACTAGTTGAATAGTCTGCAGCAGTGCTGTATAAAAACACTTACCTGTCAGTTCACTGTGCAGTAGTGCAGACGACACGACACGTATGAATTCCTCATTGACCGCAGTGACCTCTTGAAGAAGGCAGTCTCGGATCAAGTGGCGGCCATGATGGTACTACCGAATAAATATTCTGTCAAGCTTCAAGAGCACGTCTCCACCCAGACACTGCGGTACTCTCTGCCCTGTGTAAGCTCTCTTGTCACAGTCAATCATTTATTGGCTATTTCAAGAACTTGTTATAGCAAAATACCCAAATATTCTGTTTAAGAAGCACAGCCGTAACACAAACGTGATCATTTTCAAGAGAAGAATTATTATAGTAAAGCTGCTGAGTGCCAGGTCTTGCGTTTGACTGCTAATAATAAAGGCCAAATTATTGTGGTAGTGGAATACAGTAATGTTCATCAGCACACATTTATCTGGAAGGTAAAGGAACCCCTGTGTAGTCTAAATAATTCTGTAGCTACCCAACAAAGCGTTGGTTATAACCCATTTGTTGCTTTGAAATTTCATAGATAATCGATCAATCAGTCAATCAATAGGCCAATTAATCTGTCCTGTGCACTCTCTTTTATGGATTTTATGTGCCCTTTATTTCCTTGTCTTAAGGGGGCAGACTGGTCTTAGACGTTTTTTGTTTATTTCTTCAGTGATCTTGATCAAACTTCATAGGATTATGCAGTCTTTTCTGCTGATTTCAAATATTTAATTAGTTTTCCTGTAAGTCATCTTGTTCCTGAGATAACTTAAGTTCTCCCCTATTGATTAAGGCAACCATAGAAAAAAAGTGCTTAATTAAAAGTGATATTTAAGATATGTCAACATAGACTAATGACCATAGAGTGAAAGTATGCTAGAGTTTTTTTTTCTCTTTAGGGCTTTCTGGGTTATTTTACAGCAAAATGAACTATCCGCTTTCAAAAGCAGTTGGAATTGTGTTGCAATTTTGATGAGTAATTAAGAAGGCATGTGCTCTAAATTCTGCTTCCATACTTGCATTCTACACACATACAGGTTTCCATTGCAAAAATAATTATTGTTGTAGCTGCCCTAGCTGCAGAGATATTGAGGCCTCAAGATTGAACAGTCGTAAATTTACTTTTCTTTGAGAAAAATGAAAAAAAAAAAAAAAACTAAAAACGCACAGCTACTTCAAAAAGCGACAATCATGGTGCACATTTTTTGCAGTCCTCTTAAGGGTGCTCATACATTCGTAGCAGAGCTTCTAACACAGGTGCCAGCTAACTATAAAGAGGTCTCGAAGTTGGTTCCCCCTTTTTTTGCAGGTTCTGCATGTTAACAGCACTAAGAATCTGGACAGTTAGAATGACATTACAAAAGAATTACCACTTCCAGGTGTGTGAAAATTTGCAGAGATATGGAAAAATACTTTCAGAAACAAAATATGTGAATTTGAAAAATGAATTTTTTTTTTTGTCACTTTTTGGTCCCAAAGACCAGTCTGCTCCCTTAATTATTTTTCTGAGGAGAGTTAGTGAGTTCTTTTTTTTTTAAGTTTACTATTTGCATCATTAACAATTGCATCATTATGCACAAAACATTAGTTTCTAGAACTTCTATAAAATTTTACTTTGATTTTTTTTAGATGCAGAAAAGGACACACTGAATGCTGGCTGTGCCATTTGTGTGTGTGTGCCTTACAATATGATTGAAGCTCATCTGCTGCTGCTTTGCTTCCAGGGTGTCCTTCGGGTCGAAGTGGTGGCAGCAAAGGACTTAGTCAAGGCAGATATTGGTATGCTGGGCCTGGGAAAATCTGACCCCTATGCCATCATCACTGGTGAGCCAAGAGTGTCTCCTCTCTCAGAGTACTTTGCAATCATTGCAGAGGTTGAGTAACAGAGTTTACTGATGCATAACAGAGTTGACTGACTGTTTTTCACATCGCTTTTAAGGGACTAGGTGTAAGCATTGTTTGTCCTTCGTGGCGTTGTAATGATGATTTCCAAAATGTGTTTATGCTATGCGGTGCTGTTTAGAAATTAAACGGAACATTAAATACTACAACACCAATCTCATTACATTTCTGCTGCATCTTGCAGTGTCTTTTCGGTATGAAGTGTTCTGTCTCGTTCGAGAAAAACGTCATCTGATAGATCTGATCGCTTTATTGGTCACAAACAGTTGTAGGGGGAAAATTAAGCCACAGAAAACATGCGGTTTCCATTACAGAGAGTAGCTGATATTACGAAGTAGGAGAGGAAGTAGCTGTTTCATGTAATGCATGGAGCATATAACTGCTAGTCCATCAGAGAAGTGGTCTGGGTGCGAATAGGTGGGAAAGGCACTTGGCAACAACAGGGTATTGAGTATTTAAGGCGGGAGGGGGGGGTGTGTGGCTGAGACAGAAATTTTATCTCTGTTTCACGCTCTGTCGCGGTGGTCTAGTGGCTAAGCTACTTGGCTGCTGACCCGCAGGTCGCAGGATCGAATCCCGGCTGCGGCGGCTTCATTTTCAAAGGAGATAAAAATGCCATACGCCCGTGTGCTGAGATTTGGGTGCACGTTAAAGAACCCCAGGTAGTCCAAATTTCCGGAGCCCTCCACTACGACGTCTCTCATAATCATATGGTGGCTTTTAGATGTTAAACTCTGCATATCAATCAAATCAATATATCTGTCTCACGTATCTCTGTCTCATGTATTTCTAGAGACGTTGATGAGCAGGAATAGTGAAGGCAAGAAATGCCGGGGATCTTATCCTGTTGAAGGAAAAAAAGGGCACTAGCCTTTGTTAACTCTTGTTAGTAAAGCATTGTCACAAATTATAAGCACTGAAAAACAACAGTATTAAAGGGGCCATGCAATACTTAAGTGATCATTTAATGGCTTCATTAAAGAAGTTTATTGCTCCACAAAACGATTTCTGTAACAATGTTTACAATCTGTCAAGTACGAGCAGAGTTACAAGAATTTGCAGCATGCTTTACGCGCTTTCTCTCTCTTTTCGTACCATCGAGTGTGCCCCAAGCTGCACAAGGCAGGGAATGGCAAGGGAGCAACAGGATATGTTTCTTTATCAGCACGTGTCATGACCTTGAGAACTTTTTTTCTTCTAACACATTGCTCACTTTCGTTGTGGTCGTAAGCGCACATGAGGGGCACATTAACTACGGTGACTATGCGACTCGTGATGCTCAACTCGGCCAATGTGGAGTTTAGTTTTACGATGCACGTAGAGTTTTCTAAAGTTAACTAGAGGGGACTCTCGCACTGCGATCGTTCAATGACCATGGGAATGACGGGTAGTACATAGATTTGCATAGTCTTCGTACTTGCAGGTGGCAAATTGGACTTGTGGCTTCGTTTACTGCTGTGTTTCTGTTCTGTTTAGAAGAAAACTTTGAACCCTTTTGAACTTCGTCACCTGATCTGGAATGGTAAGCCTAAATGAATGAGGTGGTGAAGCGCAACTGCTGAATATTTACTGATTTTTGTTTCGTGAGAATACAGTTCTAAGCCACATGAACACACATGGAGCCAGAAGTACGTATATTAGACAAATCTGTGTACTGCTAATCATTTTCATGCTCACTGAAGTGCTGTGCGTTGCAGCTCCCATAGACACTAGGGCCAGAGTTCTCTCTAGCGTATATTTAAGAAACTTTATGACGGTGCCATATTTGGCGTTTATGACATCATTTGTAGAAGCAGAATCGATTTCCAGCTGATTTTGAGAATTAATGGTAAATTTCAGGCCTCATGCTCATGTGTTCCCAGAAGCCCCTGCTACCATTCAGCGGAATTTTCTGACCTTGCTCAAAGGATGTTGCAGGGGCCCTTTAAATAAGGAGACAGCACTTAGGGCTTGCATTGTATTGTCCCCCCCTCCCCTCCTTCCTTGCTCTCACTCTCTTTAGGCACTTAACATTTTTCACGGAATTATGGGATACCTTTGTGCGTACTGCAACAATTTGTGTCTTGCCCTTTTTGTGTGAGAATGACTGAATGGCTGTACAGGTTTATTGAATGTGTTTGAGAAAGCATTGCAAGATTTTCCGACATAATAGAGCTGTCACGCGTAATAAGTATACATGTCTGGTTCCAGTTGGTGCCCAGGAATTCCGCACACAGGTGATCCCCAACACTGTGAACCCCAAGTGGAACTACTACTGCGAGGCAAGTCACCCGCAGCGTGCTTGGCTCGGCTCAGTTTTTTTGTCTTCACACACTGCCATAAATCAAGTGCGTCTATTTGACTGGTGTGCAATGATTTTCAGGTTGTTGTCTACCAGATTCCTGGAACCACCTTGGACATTGAAGTGATGGACGAAGACCAGAGCAGCAAGGACGACTTCCTGGGCAGGTGAGTTGACGGCCCCAACATTCTACACTCGTATGCTCTAAAAAAGATGCCTCATATTTGTGAACTCCCTCTCTGTGGGAGTTCCCAAATCTGCTATTGAACAAACTCCACAATTTAAGGCCACGGGTGTGATACCTTCCACTCACGAACGACATGCAAGCTATCAGCATAACATAGTGTTTTTAGTAATACTAGTAACATAGTGTTTTCAATAATTTTAAAAATAATAATAATAGAAAAGTAACGCAAGCAAGCTGAATGTTTGTTTTTCTTGTCCGGTAGAAAGACACCTTGAAGACACCCTTTGGTAGGGTGTGAACAATGCTCACCCGTTTTCAAGCTAGTTCATATGTCGCTTCAGAGATTACAGCACTTGCTTGGCGATTTATTTTATTCACCATTTCACGTTCTTTCTTAGCTTGTGTTTAGAAAATGTTGTCCAGTGAAGACAATGTGATGGTTGCTCATGCATTGTTGGGGAAAAGACTTCTTTTGTCATCGTACAGCTTTTTGGGTGCTGATTTTTCAGATACCAAAGTTTACTTTAATGCCTTAACACATTATATTTGCCAGTTTCCCAACCGTGACATTATTTTGTGACTTGTGAAAGACACTATTAGGCCAATGGGACAATAAACTTCACTATGCTAACAACTCAATATACGCTTTTTTTTTTGTAATTGAAGACAGGTTTTTTTTAAGCAAAGTACTTGATATCAACCTGACAAAAAAAAGCACTTTTCAGACAAAAAAAAATTATATCAAACGGTTGAAAGGTTGATCTTTCTGCATAGCGACAACTGTCAGCATTCATCTGCATTTTCATCATCGAAGTGTTGCGCTGGGTGCTTTCATGTCAGGTATGGCATTGACTTCCAAGCATGCATTGCTCGAGAAAGGAAACATGTCCAAAGTCGACGATGAATACTCTTGCTTGACACAGTTGCACCCTACCTGCATTGTTAGTTTAAGCACCGCGGCACTGTGTTGCTGTGTTCAATGTTATAGCTCAGATTCCAGCTGCAGTGTTGACGGAACTGCAGCGCTAAAATGCTTGTATATTCTCACTTTGGTGCTCAATAGATAGTTGAACAATAATACGTTGCTTTTTATCCTATTGCCTGCCCCATATGTTGTAGTTCTTGTGTGTCAGACCCCATAAAATAATTTTCAAAACTTGCACCTTAATACATATCTTTCAACTCTCCTGAATTTTTGCTTAATTAAAGTTAATGCAGTTTTAACTCACCTATCAGTAGGCCGTCATACTTGGTGACTGAAGTGTGTACGAAGTAACGATTTACTCTTCTATCGTGTTTTCACTTCATGTGATAGAGTTGGCTATGAACTTGCTTTGTTCCGATCTAGTATATGATTTGATCTTAATTTGGTTGTGATTGGGGTGTCCCCTCAGCTCACAAACATGTAGGTTCTTTGGTTTCTCATCTGCATTGTAGGTAACACTTTTCTCGAGTACTGTAGGCAGTCTACATTTGTGCTGTTCTGATGCTCACTGGTAGCTGTGCTTAGACGTCTTTCTGAAGCTTGTTTCATAAGGCACCTGGAGGCATGTGTTGCACCTGCGAGTTTTTTTTTTTTTTTTTGCTTATTGTTTTCTCAGTGATACTGCACACTTAATTAAGTTTCCTTGTATACAAAGCCAGCATCAAATTCAGCACAAATTTTGTGACAGTATATGCTGCCAAAATTGTACAGAACTTTGCTTCTATGAAGTGAAGTTATTGAGTGAGGTTTCCTTGTTGAGTTTGATTTTCCAGTGACTCATGTAATGGTCGCATATGCCATTCCAGGGTGTCTGTTGCTGTTAGCGATATCGAGAGCCAGGGCCAAGGAGACATGGTGAGTGTCTGATGGCTCGTATCCTTTACATGTGTGCCACTTTGTGATGCGTTATTAGGTTAGTGCCGTACAAACACAGGGAAAAAATTATGTCAGTCTCGTACCAGTGGTTCCAAGCATGAAGGAAGAGCGCAGCTGGGTGGCCTTCCTTGTTGCTTTTTCTTTTTCCTTCTGTCATGTCTTTATTTCTCTCTGTTTCTTTTACTTGTTGCCTTCTGTCTCTTTCTCACCCTGCCTATCTTCAGTTCTTTTTCTTGGTTTTCTTACTGTTTTGCCATCTGGTTTTTCTATCTTTTTTTTGGCCTCTTTTTTTCTCACTCTACGTCTTTCTCTGTTTTTCAATCTTTTTGTGTCTCTTTGTTTCTATCTTTTTTGTTCTCTTTCTTTGCTTTGCTTGCTTTCTACCCCCCCTCTCTCTCTATTTCCTTTTTCTTTCTATCTGTCTGATCCACTCTGTTTCTTACGTGCTTCATGTGCTCCACTTCGCCAAGCTAAGTTTTCTTGTAACGCTCCCACCTGCTGTACTCAGTAGTGGGGATTGCCCGATTCCTGCTGCACATACCCCCCCCCCCCCCCTTTCTATGGTTTTCTGCTGACACCGAAGTTTTTACGACTGGCTAAAAAACCACTGTGATATTGAAAAAAAACTTATAACATGTATATGTGAATATTTGGAAGCTCGGATGGTAAGAAGTACTACCCTGCCAATAACATTAAGAATAGAAATAAATCAAATATAGGCCAAAGTAGAGCGTGTTTCTACTTGCTGATATTTCAATGTGCCATAAAGTTCAAAGAAACCGTCAGCAAAGTGGAAGAGGTGTGCTTTTCCGAAATGGCACAGGAATTCATGATGCAGGCAGCAAAGTTTTTCTCGACAGAAAAAAAAAGTGGTCATGGACTATCTCGGAAGTATTCAATCTCAAAGGCAGGCCGTGTAAACACATACACAGAAAAGAAATCAGACACCACAAATGCTGGCTATCAAGTGTTGATGGTTGGCTTTTGTCGTGCCTTGACGTCTTTCTTATGTCTGTGTTTTTACATCCTGTATTTTAGAATGAATACTCACCAACTAGCTCAGCTGTACGTTATTTCAAGTCAAAAGTCTTCCAGCTCTAATTTGTGGCAGGGCATGTTACTATTAATGGTACAGAAACTGGTGGCACTTGCGTGTAATTTTGTAGCATGTGCTAAGGGCTACTTACAAATTACTGAATAACAACGGAAGGACACGAAAGACAAAAACAGTGCAGTGTGCGCTGTTTGCGCTGTTTGTTCATTTTCACTGAAACACTGCTGCTGTATACGCTGTGTCTACTAGCAATTAAACAGACACTTGAGGCACATTCACAACATCAGCACAACCACTGTCATTGACACTGTTGCTGCTGTGATGTTCTATCAGTGATGCATGTGTGGCTAGTAAATGAAAATGTCCCAAACATGCGACAGGTGGCTAGTGTCTTTGGCTGCAGGAATGATTAGGCAAAATGGACACGTCATAGCTTACTCAGCAGCAAGAGTTAAGGCTGTGTTTAGCTTCTTCTGATAGTATGACCGTTGTGCACAAAAGCGCTAGCAGATTTTCATTAAGAACTTCCTGGAAACTTCGCAGTCGTGTCCACGGTTGTCTGAGCTGTGCGAACCAAACATCAAGCAGCGACTGTCAGTGACCTATCTTTAGTCTTGTCTTGTGCGCTGATGAGGCAGTGCTACTTTTCGAGGCAGTCTTAGTGGCTGCTGAATGTTTCAGCTGCACAGCAGTACTACTGATTGCCTTACCTGGTGCATCGTGCAATCTTTTCCGCCCACACATTTTCTACTCAGTTCCATGAAATTATTTGCAGCCGCAGTCTTTGCTTTCACAGCCACTGCATGCCTCTTTAGATGATGCTGCCAATGTTTCATCGATTTGTCACTAGCTCTTGCCACAGTAGCTCTTGCCACATATCACCTGGTTAAAAGTGCAGTGTCCTTTTACATAAAGAAAAAAAGAAATCTTTATGTACCAAGACTTTTAATATTTACACGAAACAGAGCAGCTAAAAGTGTCAGGTTATTAAATGACTGAGCAAGAAGTATAATAAAATAAGAAGGCCTTTTCCAAAACCTACATGTACAGCTTTATAAATGAATATTTTATATGGATTGCTATTGTTTAGGTAAGATTAGGGCAATGGCAAAGGTTGCAGAAGCAGTAAAGTTGTTTCGGGTGTCCATTTTCAAAATATGGCAAGAAACCCATGAATGAGTTTAATTTTGTTGTCGTTATGAGCAGTGTGGGCTGTCTTTTCTTTTTGAACGAGTGCAGTGGCTGACCCTGGACGACACCAAGTCGGGCAAGATCCGCCTACGAACTTTCTGGCTCACTCTGTCCCGAAACACGGACGACCTGGCTCTGGTTGGTCCTTCTTCTTTTTCTTCACTCTGCACTCGGGGATGCCTGGAATCGATGAGAAATTATTGAACAGAGAATGACTCCAGAGTCAATGTTCTAGACCAGTGGACTTGTCAACACTAGTCCCCGACATTCTCTTCTCCATAACATCAATTCATTTTCCGGGTTTTGTTTTTCCCTGAACTTGTTTCTAGTAATGCCTAGCAACAAAGCTATACCAATGCCAGTTGCAGTTTTCTTTAAATTCTGTATAAACTCGATGTAGTAGAAATACCGACCTCAATATTCCACGTTTTACTCTATACAACCTCATTAGTAACAATACTACAAGATTTCCAAAACAACTTAATTTATTTCTTCTTGAATTTAGAACTAATTATGGTGGTGCTATTGTTGCACTTTCAGGCATTTCACTTTGGAACTCATTACCATCAGATATCAAGTCATCTTCATTCTTATAATTCAAACAAATAACTGAGGGACATTTCATAAACAGTTTGTCACATGCTCAGAATTCATTACATTTTTTTTTCCTGCAGAACATTTCCCAACGTACTGCTAATTTTTAATTATATGAATTTTGCTTATGTTTGATGTGTCTTTGCACTTGCTGGTTGCACATGCAATTTGTCCTTGTTTGAATTTATGCAAACTATATTTGTACTTTCTTGCTACTTTCTTTTGTGATCTCTCTATTATTATTGTGGTTATCACATAGATATTTTTATGATTAGCTTCCCCCTTGCTATTGTCGTATCTGATATTGTATGAAATACATGACTCACTGTTTGCCAAGATTCTTGTAACCCCCATTTGTTTTTTTATTAGGAGGTCCCCCCGACAGTTTTAACTTCGGGACCTCTGAATGTGTAATTATGTGTCTACCTTGTCTTTCTTTTACAAAATAAATAAGTAAAATGATGGAACCTCAAGGAAGCTGGTACAGAATGTTTCACAATGGTACAGAATGGGACAGTTTAACAGAATAAGTGTTAACCTCAACTTCCTTATTATTATTGTGTAATTGACATAAATAAAATTTAAGTAGCACATTCAGAGAGATAATGCACTTGTTTCCCCCATGTGATGGCCATCACGAAATCAATCTCAGCTGAAAATAATTTTAGTGATAGCCCACTGACTTACTTCAATGTGAATGGATCTCTGCCATATGCAGTAGGATGTATGTGTAAGAAATACTGTGTGCTTTCTTTTATCATTGTATTGACTTTTATGCAGAATTCATGTCGATGTCTGCCATTTAGTATCTAGAAAACATGAATAAAAATATATATCAAGTTGTTCGATAGAGGTTATGATGTGGGAATGTGACTTACAAAGGTAATATTTAATGGAGAACACAGCTCTTCTTGCAGTGTGGTGCTTTATTAGGAAATTTTCATTACAGAAAGCCACATAAGTTTCTTATCATTACTATTTATGATCAGTGGTCAAGTTGACTGACAATTTTAATTACTTATATACTTACTAGTGTTACAAGTTGACATAAACTCAATTTTGTTGTGAGCAATTTTTTTCATGTGGCATAACATGCAAGCTTGCTTTTTCACATATCCTGTTACATACTTAAGGACTGGAAAATGTCGTACAACTCGGCAAAGCATTATGGCATAGGTAGCTTCCGTGTTGTATATGCGTTTGTAAGTTCCTTGTTGCATATATTCCTGAAGTTTGGTTCGAGGTTAGAACCCTTGTGTACAACTACTGCCTTGCCCAATGCTTTAGTCATTGAATTTCTTATTGTTTTATTATTGTGCTCGCTTTTTAGCTCCGTTCTCTGGCCGTTTGGGTCACCTGTCGATTTTCACTAGGGTGAGGGCTTGTTGATTATGGATTACATTACATTGGTATAAAAACACATAATGTGCTTTGGGTTTGCTCTGTGTCTTGGTATGCAAAGTAAGTCTACGAAAGGTCTGTTTGCATCTGCTTTTTTTTTTTGCAGCAACTGGAAGAAGTCAGAGCCATCTCAACCAAGACACCGTTGTCGTCAGCTGTGCTCATTGTATTCCTCGACTCCGCAAAGCACCTTCCGGTCAGTGCAGCTTACACTAACCCTTGGCATTAATTCTAGCGTGATTGATGTGTTACTCTGAGGGGTAAATCTGAGCACTGTCACAAAATGATGGCATTCTATGGGAACTTGATCTTTGTCACGGGATGTCGTTATTGAACCGTAGACGAGACAATGTTACTTACCTGTAACCATGGTCTGGGTCACGCCGTGACGTCACTTGACCATGCTACGCTTTATCGTATAGCTTCCTGTGTGAAACTGCCATAGGGAGCTGCGCTTCCTCTATTGTTACCCTTTCCCTGGCCCACTTCCCAAAGTGGCTCCTGTGGGTGTGATGAGGCGTGCAGAGGTCAGATATGAAGGGGGGGGAGGGGGCTAATCACAGGACAGAGCACTGAGGGGGGAGCAAACATGCTTGTTAGCAGCCCTTCATTCGTGCCATCTGGCAGTCGACAAGCAAATAAGGCAAGAGAATGTAAACAGGGCAGAAAACCTACATCAAATGCAAGGCAGAACTTCTGTCACGATTGCCGTATATTGTCAAAATGATGTCTGCAAGGGCATGAAGAATATATCCAGTTTCTTCAAGACTAATGCTGGGTAGGTGGCTGGCCAATGCAACTTTACTGATCTCCCCACCGAGCTAAACAGTGTTGAGAGCAAAAATGGTGCTTCGACACTTTTTGCATCTCTGCCCTCTGTGCTCTGTGGCAGTATGGCTAGCTTGACGAGGAACAAGTTCTCCTAATTTTTACGGTAACACATGCCACACTGAATGACATACAGTTTTTGCTCAAGTAACGTTCATGTAACATGACAACCCACCTTATGAAAGCATTAGTTTGGCATCATATCGTCGTATTGGGGGCCTTCTTTTTTTATGAGTCTTTCGAAGATTCGCAAAGCAGCCCCAAAGATTCAGAAACCCGACGTAATGGTAAAAAAAAAAAAATTTCTCGGTTCTTCCTAGCTCTCTCTGCACCTGGTGTATTTCTGAGCACTTAATCTCACCCCAGCATGCTCCTTCCTGCCTTACTTGCTGATTGTGCATGTTTTACTAATTTCTTTGCGTGTACTATACTTACTATATATAACATCTGGGTTAGTTAAAAAATGCACCGTTTTCAGGCCTAAAGTGAGAAAAAGCACTAGTAGTGAAGTGAAGTAGCACATGATTTTCATAATTGGCACGAGGTATAATCAAGAAAATTGATTCACTTGAAACAATATCTAGGAAGCTTCTTATCAGGACTTAAAGATGTGCTATGGATCAGTTTGGCTAACGTTGGCTTGTTTTGCCAGTGTGCAGGCTTGAGGAATACATTGCACACACATTTAATTAACAGTATTTGTCACAATTTATTTTAAAAAATTTGTGCTAGAAAGCTACAGTAAGAGATAGTAACTTAATAACAATCACATAACATTATGTGCTTTCTCTTGTTGCTGTGTTGTGGATTCATTCTAGAAGAATGCCGATAGAACATTAAATTGGTTTAGGCTTCTTTCAACTCTATTATTTTTATTTCTTAAGAAAGAAATGGTGATAACAGGCAGGAAAACAACAGGTCAAGGTTATCTTTCTTTGAACTACTGGTGTGCTGAGACTGCAACACAGGTGCATTGTCTTTAGTTGCCAGATTTTAATTTTTCTTGCCCCACTACAACCGTTTTCGACAAGACAGAAATGTTCAGTGTCCGCTCGATTCAATCTTATTCCTTTAGAATGCTAGGCAAGCACTCTTTACTGATTGACATATAACCTAGTTGAGAAAGTTGTTAAAAACCTGCGGTAATGTAGCAACATGATGGGAAAGCCTTGGGACATCATATAACTGGTTAATTTAAGTACAGTGGCTGGCAATATATCAGTGGAATTAGCTAAGTTGATGGTGTACTTACAAAACAAAGAAGAAAAAAAATGTTTTGAGATTTTGGTGGCCCTTGCATGTTGGGAAGTGAAGTAAATGAAGTAATAGTACTCAGTGTTCAAGTAAAACGGGTCAACTGCATTTAATTTCAGAAATTTTTTCATTGAATGTTGCCTGCATGATTTAGGCGATACTATGTGTGTTAGTGCATGTTCACTGTAGCAGTTGCATTGCTCATCTTTTATGTAATTGTCATGATGGCGCTACACTCCAGTTATTTGTGTGTTTGTTGACGACCCTGTCATGTGCATGAGCATGTGTGCAGTATCTAATGAGCAGGCTACATCGCTCAATTATTGGGCACATGCATGAGTAAATTTCACTTACAAGGAGTAGTGAGTACCTGCATTCTTTTGCCAAGGTTATGCTGACCATATCTGTGAAGCACTAGTTAATGACTAATCAATAATCTAGCTGTTGGTGTGCTAATTACAAAGAAATGAGGAGCACACACACATAAAAAAATAAGTGGTTATTGCAAAACTTGTACTTTTGTATATTAAGAGAAAAAAATGGCCCCTAATTTTCACTCATGAGATAGTCTTGTTTCAGTTGCTTTGTTTCATCTATCTCACGTGAATGTTCCTATTGTCATTGTGTTTCATGACCAGTGTTGTCAACTCTTGGAGCCATCCCTACCCTAAATTGAGGCGAACCTAGGCAGACTTGCTCTGACTCCTTGTGATTTTTGTAATGAACTTTAGCATCTCAATTTCGCATCGTGATGAACTTACGGTGACACTTGTGCAGAATGATACGTGACCTTGTGCAGTTTAGTTTTTCTTGGCTTGTTTACAAGAATTTTTGTTGTCCAGATATCATTACAAAACACAACCGTGGAAAGTTATCCAACTTGGTGCTCTTGCACTGTGAAAAAAAAACAGTGTAATATAATGTCGCACAGGGGAGGGAATTTCAAAAACAGGAGGAGCGCTGACTCATTATCATCAAAGATGTGCTGAATGATGGGGAAAGTATTGAGATAAGGCTACCTTACCGCATATCATACTGGTACGGAGTGGTGTCAAGGAAGGCGGCGTGATTTGGGGATGGCACTCTGTTAGCCATTTTGTCGATGCTCAGACGTATAGGACATAGTGTAAATGCATTTTAAATGAGTTTTGTGCTTCTGTCTGCTTTCATGTAACAGAAGTATGTTTTTGAAAGCATTTGTTTCCCTGAAACTTTATTGAAGGAAGCAAATGAAAGATAACCAAGCTGCTTCAACGAAAGTATCTCCTATGTCTATGAGACACAAAACATTAAAAAATTTTTTTTTTATAAGACCTTTCATGAAAGTTATCAATGGATACAGTTTGGCTTGCAACATATTTATTATTCACATCTAAAATTAAAACTTATCTAATGTGCTCTGTTGGAATTTTCAAGCAGTGAAGCTTTCAGTGTGAGCTTCACTGTATCTGGTTTTAATGCAGCATGTCTGCCTGGAACCGATTGGTATATTTTCTATAATGAAGTTGACAACTGTTTTAGGCTGAATTCGTCACTGAGGCCTTCTTCAGCGAGGCTATATTGCAAAAGAGCAGTAGTAACCGGCAGGAAGTACAGATGTTGAGTCCGAACCGGAAGGGAAAATGAGACTGAAGTGCATAGCTGGAAGTCTTTTGAATGACTGGATGTGGCACAACGGAAGTTAAGTATGAGCCACCAGCCTATGATGCATTGCACTGACCAGGACAGTGCAGTGTGACCTCTTTGGCAAGACAGGAGCATTACGTACAGTCAAGAAAACCTGGACCTGTTCACAGAGAAAACTGCTTGTTACGATATGAGGAGATTGGAAATAGGACCCGTTTGGCACTCAGTAACCCCCACTTAGCTATCCCAGTGCAACATTTAAGAATTACCCTAGTTAAAACTTAATTTCCCCGTTGTCCCTTAACAGCTCTCAGAATGTACATTTCTCGGGAACAGCTTCCTGGGGTTGGCAACACTGCTCTCGAGTTCACAGTTCCCATATGTGTGTGTGTTCTATTTGTTTGAGTGTGCAGTGTTTTTCAGTGTGTAATGGCCGTGTTTGTGAATCGCTGTCTTGGCCCCGCAGAGTGTCAATTTGATCCCTCAGACTTCCACATTCCCGAGGAATCGGTTTGCCAAGACTCGCGTAAGTGCGTTGGCCACGAAGTGAGTAGAGCCATGCGACGGAAACGTGCTTCGTGTTGTCGTTGTCATTACGGTGCTTTCGTGTGGGGGCTTGCGGTGCCTAGTTTCGCAAAGTCGTCGTGGGTCCAGCGTTTGGTGCTTGAGGTTGAGCTTGCCATTGTGTGTTGTGCTCCGTGACGCAGTATTGTATCCAAAATTGTACAGCTAATGAAACGCACACCTTGTGAATGTTTGAGATTGTTTACTTTGTTGTCACATTCGCTGAAAATATCTTTACTGCTAAAATTTGTAACACAGATCACAGCGTAAGTTCTACCTGTTTCTAAAAAAAAGAAGAAAAAAAAACTTACTTTCTTGCGGGGCTTGTCTTTTGCTGTTGCTGTCGCACTCATCTCCCTTTCTATATTCTCATATGTACACCCGTGAGCACAAGCATACAGACCACCGGAGCGTGTGTGGAAAGCAATGCCTACGCTGTCTAGTCCTGAGCTGTCTGCTGTTCAGGGCATTGCTCTGACGGAATTATTGCCGACATCATTGTTGTAATAGATTCGTCAGAGAAATGCTCTCTTGACAGCAGACGGCAAGTGTGTACAGACAGCAATGGTCTGTATACTTTTGCTCATGGGTTTACTCAATTCGTTTTTCACTCATTATGACACAAAATGCTTGGTGTTTCCTGTTGTTTTTATATCTATATTTATAGTGATCGTATGCCCAATGCCATCACAGAAAGGATAACATCGTATTCAACTCACGGTACAATGTGCTAATAACGCATAACAGCGCAGTTAAAATTATTTGATTTGTGTCTCTTTTGTAGCACTAATAAATCTCACATTAGAAGAATTTTCAGCAAGCATGGTAATTCTCTTGTCTCAATACAGTTGGCCAGTGTGTTTAATGACATTGATATAAGCATGCACTGAAATTTGTGAGTGTGTTGCCCTTTTGACGCTATGC